CAAGCGAAACGCCTGATTGCCATACACTGGAAAAGTACTTGTCCATCTTTATCACTCTGGATCAAAGAATTGTCTTCTTGTAGCAATGGAAAGACTGACTTACTCAATCAAACAAAAAAAAGCACATATTTTACAGGATCTGGGACTCCTTCCTTCATTTTCTAGAACAGAATGGAACGACTCTTGAGTAATACTAATAATGTGATTTTTTTTTTTTTTTTGGGTGTGAATATACCTTTATGGCTCTCTTGTTGGGGTAGGGTGGGTGTGTTTTCTTTCTTTTTATGAAAATCCTGTATTGTACATGTATTGTAAAAAAAAAAAAAAAAAAAAAAAAAAAAAAATATGTTCACAAACGTCCAATTCCTCAATCATCTCACATCTTGCTAGCTGTAGTCCTCATTAAAGGGATAGTTCACCCAAAAATGCATAGAATTCACAGAAAATCCTGTCATTAATTATTCATCCTCATGTTATCCAAACCCATACGTCTTTCATTCATCTTCAGAACACAAATTAAGATCTTTTTGATGAAATCTGAGAGCATGACCCTCCATTAACAGTTCACGATACTGACACTTTGACACTTCAGAAAGTTCATAAAGAGACAGTAAAACTAATCCATTTGAATTGAGTGGTTTAGTCCAAATTTTGAACAGATTGAATTTAGGCTTTTATTCACAAATAAACATTTACCATTTAGGGTGAACTACCCATTCAGCAGAATGTATGACGAGCACCGATTTCACTACCCTGCGGTATTGATGACATGATGCATATGTGAAATATGAATGAGAGTGAGGGTGAGATTCTATAATAAATGGAGAAAATGCTTAGCTCAGCAAAACTTAGACATCGTGGCTTGACCTTTGAACTGTTTCTTCATAACACCGGAAGAGATCTCTTTGACAAGACGTGTAACTCGTCATGGAAGCTGGATGAAGCTGGCATTTGCCCAAGCCGGAAAATCTAAAGTTGCTCAGTTTAAAAGCCCTCATATAAAGCGTAATCGGGGGTCTATTTTGGGAGTATTGGGGTCTGATTCACTTTTCTAAGTGCTGGTGGTTGCATTGCACTCTTGCCTTAAAGGGTTAGTTCACCCAAAAATGAAAATTAAGTCATTAATTACTCACCCCCATGCTGTACCAACCCCGTAAGACCTTCGTTCATCTTCGGAACACAAATAAAGATATTTTTGATTAAATCTGAGAGCTGGATCACTCCTCCATAGGCTGCCTAAGGGACTGACACTTGACGGCCCAGAAAGTCATTAAAGAAAATGTTTAAATGTTTCATGTGCCTACAGTGGCTCCACTATAAGTTTATCAAGCGACGAGAATACTTTTTGTGCGGAAAAAAAACTAAAATAACGACTTTATTCGACTATTCCATTGCTTCCTTGTGGGCCTGAGACGAGAGTTCAAGAGATTTCCAGGACGCATGCGCGAGAAGTGACACTCTTCTTCTACTACACAGCGCGCGTCTTACAAGCAGAGGAAGACGCGTGCTGTAAATAGTAGTAGAAGAAGAACGTCAGTTCTCGCGCATGCGTCCTGGAAATCTCTTGAACTCTCGTCTCAGGCCCACAAGGAAGCAATGGAATAGTCCAATAAAGTCGTTATTTTAGTTTTTTTTCCGCACAAAAAGTATTCTCGTCGCTTGATAAACTTATAGTGGAGCCACTGTAGGCACATGAAACATTTAAACATTTTCTTTAATGACTTTCTGGGCCGTCAAGTGTCAGTCCCTTAGGCAGCCTATGGAGGAGTGATCCAGCTCTCAGATTTAATCAAAAATATCTTTATTTGTGTTCCGAAGATGAACGAAGTTCTTACGGGGTTGGTACAGCATGGGGGTGAGTAATTAATGACTTAATTTTCATTTTTGGGTGAACTAACCCTTTAAGTTTCATTCGGTGTTGTCAGTGATCACCAGTGTATGGCAGTAATAAAAAACCCAGAGTTACGGAAACCGAAAAGCCTCTCAAAAACACCCACACAATCACATATCAGATGCTGAATTTCTGTGAAAAAAAAAGGTCTTAGCATAAATGTGAAAATATCTGTAGTGCACATCTTTAGTTTCGTAAGCATTTCTGTGAAAACCCTTTCGTTTGACCTCACAGCAACCTCACAACACGTTTTGACTCCTAGAGAGCGAATAAGGTCTTAGATTTTGAGTGAAATACCCTCAATAAATAGGTTTTACTCATTCTCTCTCCTGAAAAGGCCAGTGTATGTGGCGTTTTGGATGTGCTTGTACAAATACTTGCCTCCCCAACATCCTAAACCATCAAGACCACATGAGATAATCAGCTTAACCAACAAGAACCTGCTGCTCTTTAGTTTAACCACCAGGTTGGTCAACCAGTGCCACCAGTTTGGTTTCATTAGTGAATGACATCAAACCCGCACCAACAAGCTGGGAAGTTAATGCTGCACCAAACTAGTATTTTTAACAGGACTTGGAAAACAAAATCAAGTGTAAGAGCAAAACCTCCACATCTGAAGATCCGTTTCAGTCATTATGTGAACTAAATTAATATTCAGATCCAGTAACTGATTCATTAGTTGTGTGGAATGCAAGGAATATTCTGATAGTAATTCTCAGAAAAGAAACACTTAACTTTTCATCCGTTAATAACACAAACATTCGTGGAATTATCGTAATGCAAAGACCCGTGATATTTCTGCAGAATCACTGATCACACCTCAACAAAAAAAAAAAAAGTGGTTTCCGCTGTAGGCCGCTTTTACTACAGGGGTAAATGAACCATGAAAAGAAATGTTCACTTCATGATAGTTTAGAACTGAACATTTCTCATCTACTACCACCCACTGATACTTGCACCAATGATGGAAATAAACAGTAAAATGGCAACACAGGAAATGGTACAAGGAATATATATATATATCCATCACAAATGAATGGGTTTGCAAATAAAAGAAATGAAAGTAAACAGTAGCGTGTGTGTCTCGGTCTTTTCCTTCTGTCTTTCTTCTTCATTTTGAATTCTGGTTTCTTTAAGTGCTTTCAATGTATTGTTATTGTTAACTAACTGTTAAATTGTTTAAAAATTCAATAAAATATAAATATTAGAGAAAAAATATTTCATGAAAATGAGAAATGTTGCCTTGGCAAGTACTGAAAAAAGATGAAGTACTAAAAATTAAATAAATCTATATAGAAACATTAAAATAAAAACAAAAGTACAAGACAAAATTACTAAAATTTAAATGAAAACTGAAAATAATACAAATAAAATCTAAACTGGCCCCATCAAAATTTTGGGAAACTGTATAGGCTACATTTTGTTTTTTGACTAAGTGACATAGCAAATATCCAGCCTATTTAAAATTTAACAAAAACCCACAGACCCAGAAATAAGACTTTATTTACTAAAAGTAGGGCATATTTTTTGTCCCCTCTTGCCGAAGCAAACCCAGGAAACTTCCACCATTACTTAAAATAATATCACCCCCGCTCAATCTTAACATCTCCTCGGCCTCACACCACCGAGACTATTTTTCCCTCCTTCTGAAGGGGAATCCTCTGTTCCACAAACCACTACCACCATGCATATTAACCGGAGGCCTTAACGACTCGAGGCCCCATCAAACCCCACCACACAAAACTAATATATACAACGCATATATTACAGAAAGCAGAATTCAAAATGAAGAAGAAAGAAAGACAGAAGGAAAAGACCGAGACACACACGCTACTGTTTACTTTCATTTCTTTTATTTGCAACCCATTAATTTGTGATGGATACTCGCTTCCTTAGAATAACAATAAAATAAACGAAGAGAATATGAAACTGTATGATCAGCAGTTTGCATTATATAATATAATAATTTAAACTCAGCTGCTGGATGTCATAAATGAGATATTTCATATAATATGGCATGCATACAGCAGCAACCTTAAAAAACGGGTTTAGAAATGAGTGTTTCTCTTTGAAAACAATCAGAGAGAATTAAGATACACTCTAAAAAAATAAAAGTTCCAAATATTTTTTTATTTTTTTTTGTGATAGCAGCAGCATTTTTGGTTCCCCAAAGAACTATTCAGTAATCAGTTCTAAAAAAGAATCTTTTTTTTCTTAGTGTGAAGAACATTTGAATAGACTAAAGAATCTTTTTCCACTCTAAAGAACCTTTTGAATGGAAAGATTCCATGGAATCTTGGAACCATCGATTCCAATCATGCAGCTTTATATAAGAGTGTATGAGCAGAGCCTGGGGCAAGTTGTCACAACGTCGGTATCTCAGTAACTAAGACGTTTAGTCAAAGGCTTGATTTCTATAACAGTGGTTTGTTCAGTCTGTGAATTCTTCATCCAAACTATACTTTGTCACTATGGATTCCCAAATTTTAAATAGCTTATAATGCAAAATAGAGCAGATATGTTGTTGAAGATTTTTTGATTTTTTAAATTGAAAAAATCTTATATCAGCGTTGTGTGAAATTATATGATCAATAAGTTATGACAAGATATGTTTGTGCACTGCTTTAACTCATTAAAATAAGTTAAGCAATTTTCTTTTTTTATAAGTTATACAAGTTTCAACTAATTTTTTTCAGTTTAAAGTCAGTTTAATGTCATTTAAGTTGAAATGACTTAAAAAAACAAGTTGATTGTACTTAAAAAGTACATTTGTACTTAAGGCAGCAACTTTTTTTCTTTTCAGTGAGTATCAATAAACAGCAGGTTATAATTGTGACAACATGCCCCACTGTCCATACCTATACACATATTCAGAAAAATAAAAAATATCATCACATTAAAAGTATCAAAACCTAAGGCTTATATCAATAATTAAAAAAATAAAAACTTGTGGAAACCTGTACGTTTAGAGGGGGGAAAAAGTAACAAGAAAAATGTGCATTTATGAAAATATGAATCAGGGCAGATTTTCCCTGTTCCAAAATGATGAAAAATCTTTTTAAAAAGGCGGGTTAAAAAGTGGAAACTCCTGAAGCCAGTGTATAAAAACCACTTGAGAAGTGCTGTTGAGAAGTCTCCCGAGTTTGCTTGTTGAAGACATCACACAAACTTTCGAAATCACGATGCCGTCAGCTCTGAGTAAGTGTTAGTGATTTAGACGATCGGACATCCTCAAGTGCAGTCACACATCTCTCACTTTCTCTCTCACTTTTCTCTGCAGACAAAGCGCTCTTCCTGTCTGCCACACTGGCGGTGTTCATGCGTCTCGTGGACGCAGTGCCTGCGTACAGCAGCACGGGGGAACTCTCGGAAACCTCTGGGGATGAAGTTCAGGACGTGGATGGGAAGAGTCTTCTGAACGACCGGCACAAATGGCATCTGATGGCGAGAGATCTGCACAAGGACGTGAAGACGCTTCGAGATGAACAGGTGCTTTTAAACACAGAGTTAAACAAAGGTGTGTTGTTCTGCTGACTGTCTTCAACTAACTTTGTGTTCTTCCACCTGCAGTTTGAGAGCGATTTCAGGGAGACGGTGAATATGACGGCGTATGAAGGCGTCCGGGTCAGCACGCCTCTCCTCAAACCTTCTGACGGCTGTCTGTCCAGAAACTTCAGCACAGTAAGAACACTTATCATGCTTGTGGTTTATCAGGGAGGATTCCTTAACTAGGGAAACTGTTCTGTCCCCTAACATGGTTAAAGAATTTCAAAATAATAACAACAAAAAAAGTAGTTTCTAAAAATCTTTAAAAAAAATTTTTTAAATTGTACATTTTTAGGAAGATTTAAAAGTTGAATTTGCTAGAATGTCTCTTTTTTTAGTCACTTTATAATCCCAGTATTTCCATTTGTTCACTGTAAAAAAAGACTGCATTAAATTTTTAATTACAATCAACTTGGATGTTAAAGTCAATTCAACTTATATTATGTTAAGTTGAATCTTCTATAAATTATAAGTTGTTTAAAATTGCTTAACTTATTTTAATGAGTTAAAGCAATGTAAAAACATGTCAATTTATTGATTGACCATATCATTTAGTGTTATTTCATAGTTTTGGTTATTACTGTGGAAATTAGTTTAAAAAAACGAGTAGATGTGTTCAGATGTTTGACTGGTACTTTGTGTTAACTGGATGGCATTTGTAATGTTTTACTACAAAAAGTCCATCAAAATGACAATCAAGTCAAGCATTTTAAAGAACCGAGTTTTTCCACAAACGTTTATGATTGGCTATAATGGAAAGTAAAGTGGTATTTTAAAATGGTAAATTTAGTAAAGTGGAGCACATCTTTTTCATGATCTGAGTAGATTTATTAGGCCAAAACAAATCAGTTTCAATACAGAAACAATCTATTTTGTTTTACTATAAGTTCAACGTGTCAAGTATTAGCAAGTGCACAGCTTATCTAACTTTCCCTACAAAAACTGCTATTATCGTTCAACACGCTCTCATGGCAATTCGTAACCAGTTTACATTTTGGCAAATCAGTATGATCTCATTCATAAAATCTGCATATGGCACACAAATTTAACTTTTTCCTCTTTTCTAAAAAAACTGTGTTTCCAAAAAATCACAATGCAAAAACGCCACCTTGTGAAATAGTCACGTACAGAAACGAATTGATATCGTTACACAAACCAAATGCAGATAAAAGTTAAGATGCTGGTCAGATCTTTTTATTCAGCACACGTAATAAATAAAGTTCTGTCATGAAACTCTAGATGGCGCAGGCCGATCGGTCCTTAACTCAATCTGGGGTGTGTTTCCAGTACAAGTCACTATCACAGTACGATGCATCGTTGAAGAAATCATCTAGCGAGTCACGACTGTTTCCCGAAACCATATTGTCGCAAAGTGGTCGTTCAACCACATTGGTTTATGACGTAACGCAGGTGGTGGAGTAATAACTTATTTTAATGAATCTGTTCGAGATCGAATTAACGCTAGATGTTTTGATATAAATTACAGACATGCATCTGAGGACTATTTCTCATATTTCTCAGTTATTTCGCTTTATTTCCAGATTCGATCATAGACTCGTTCTTACACACTAGAGCACGTTCGCACATGCGCAGTCTTCAAACACGGGGCTTTAAATCTCATGACAAACTCAAAGACGTAAAACACATTTGTATGTATTCTAAATAAAAGACAGGTTGCACTGAATGTCAGCTTGCTTATTTTGCTCAAGATACGGATTTATTAAGTCCACATGTCATGCAATCTATAAACTCTGCTTCTAACCACAGCTCGAGATCTGTCGCTCAAACACACAACTCTGCGATGCTGTTTGCGAATGTTTGTTGGAACGATGGTTTCGGGAAACACCGACTCGTTGAACTGCTGATAACGGCGACCATAGTTGGCTAACGATGCTTTCGGGAAACGCACCCCTGCTTTGCAATCACATCATTCTCTATAGGGCACAGCTGATTGGTTGCTGCTGTATCAGTAGCCAATGAGCTCGCTGCTCAACCTTCAATACTTGCAGAGCGCTTTCAGAAACCCTCCACCTTCCCCAGCTCCACCTGTATAGATCTGCTACGGGTAATTCATGTATGCTGTGCAATATAGCATACATGAATTACCTGTCTGTCTTGCTCACCGCAGCGTGTCGTGTGTGTATTGGCTGTAGCAAGCAGCAGCGTAGCAGATCTATTCCACAACGACTAAACCTATCAACATTGTCAAATCCATTAACATGCCAAACAGTTGTCATGACAGAAGTGTTTTCATGTGATTTTCTCAATATCAACCCTCATGACTGTTTCAGGAAAGGTGTCTGGGGCGCATTTACAGTGTCCTGACGTGGTATAAAGAGAACTGGAACTACATTGAGAAGGAAAATCTGACCTCAACCTTGGTGAACGACATCAAGCACGGGACGAAGCGACTGCTGGAGGCCATTAACAGCCAGGTAAACACGCCTGAACTCAACATCTGCGGTCCTCAACCCTTTCCAAGAGGCCGCTACGCTACTGGATGTTACTTTAGACATCAACAAGTCATTTTAACGGTTTTAAAATTACTTAAAATAGAGCTTAAACATTAAACAATTTGGTAACACTTTACAATAAGCAAATGGATTCAATTGTATCTCTCAAGACTAGTGATAAACTGATATCTACTAGCTCAACAGTCGTACATTAGCACTAGCAGTGCTGGCATGACAAGTATTTAAAGGGTTAGTTCACCCAAATATAAAAATTCTGTCAGAATAGGTCAGAACGTAGGCTCAGTATTGGCCGACGCTGGTCATGTGTGATGCTGGCCAATAGTGAGCCTACGTTCTGACGTAGCGCTGCTGCACTGTTACACTACGTGAACTCACTCTGAGGCCCACATAGAAGAAAACGAACAGTTGAATTAAAGCAACAAGCACCAAGTAACTTTTCCTCTGCGGCCGCCCTACAGGTTGGAAGCGGAATTGTCCATTACCGCTGTCGTAAATAATTTAGCCTAGCGCAGCCGACTGTCGCACACACGCTCGTGTTTATCCAGCGCCGGCTTTGGAATGAACGATGTCCACAGACAAGGTTGCATGATTTCATTAAAGTATGATGTATTGCGACATCAGAAACGAAGAAAAACTAAATAATGACTATTGTAACGCTTGACGTAAAGCAAGTCAAATTTGTAGTTTTCTTGTCTCATTAGAACTACAGAAACACGACCCGTTCTGGCAATCTTACACAGCGAGGTTATAGCAGATATAGGACCGCAAAGTGGAGGCATAAGTGCCTTTCACCCTGTTACGACTTGATGAACCAATGAAACGATTTTAGAAACATTATTTTAAGGTAAAAAATCTTACTTAGTGTTGCTTTAAGTCGTTATTTTTGCGCACAAAAAGTATTCTCGTCGCTTGATAAACTTAAACCACTGTAGTCACTTGGACTATTTTAACAATGTTTTTATTTACTTTCTGGGGCAAGTTTCAATTACAATAGAAGCCTATGGAGGAGTGAGACAGCTCTCAGATTTAATCAAAAATATAATTTGTGTTTTGAAGATGAACGAAAGTCTTACGGGGTTGGAACAACATGAGGGCGAGTAATTCATTTTTGCGTGAACTAACCCTTTAACGTTTATCTCCCTCCAGCTCCAGGTGGGCGAAGGACAGGTGGACCCGATCTCCAGCAGTCCTCTGTCGGTCCGATCCGCATGGACACGCAAGGCCACCGTCCACTCGATCCTGTTCAACTACACCAGCGTCATGATCGACACATGCAGAGCCATCAGTTACATGAGCAAAAGGAAGGGTGGACACCGGGGGAAAGACACGAAGAGACCCGGCCACTGGACCTCAGACAAGAACTAATCAATACTCATTTATTTGACTATTAGATTTATTTATTGACCATCGCAGTATTCGATTCGGGGAATGATAATTTAATATTTATGAGTCTGTATTTTTTAACTTATTGAACGCAATGCAAATGTTGATGCATTCTTGTTTGTACAACACTGATATTTATAAATGTAATATTTATGTGTCTGTACTTTTATTTACTTTAATTTGTACAACACTGAAAATCTGTGCTGATAAATATTTATTAAACATGTTTAATTTTTTTGAAACTGAACGTTGAGCACATCCTGAGATTGTTTACAATGATTAAAAACAACAAAGAAAATCCAGTTACATTGTGTGTGTTTCTCAAGACAATGTTTCAGAAAGAAGTAGTAAAACAAAACAAAACAAAAAGGAAAAATGAGACAGCCGAGTATTTACATCCCAGCATAACGTTCTGATCCAAGCGGTCAGTGTCCCGAGACTCCCGTGAGTTGGGAAGTTCAGTGGGAGGATCCGGATTGGTCTGTAGTGGCCGTCGGGAGCGTCTTCATCCCCAAAGCAAACTGAAAGAAACCGCAACATCTTCTTCAGCTCTCTGTGGTAAAACACTGTGCGCTTCACGTGTCCGACTCACACAACTCACCTCAGGACCGTGGGTTCAGGCATCCCTGGATCGGCTCCCCGTTTGAATCCTGGGAAATAAAGAAATACCGGTAAATAACTATAAATAAGTGTCCATGGAAATATGGATCAGATTCAGAAGCGTGAACACTCAGTGGTGAACCAGGTTGTTCAGTGGCTGATGCTGATCTTCCAAGGGAATATCATAGAGACTGCTCCGGGTCACATTTCACAAATAAATAAATAAAAATATAAATTATATATATATATAAAATATATAAAGAAATGAAATGAAATATACACTCATATATATATATATATATATATATATATATATATATATATATATATATATATGAGTGTATATTTCATTTCATTTCTTTATATATTCTCTTTTCATGGTAATGCAACACGAAATACCACAACAGCAATTTAACAAACACAACAAATACAACAAAAATACATTCCATGACAAGAAGAACAGGAGTAGGATGAAGAAAATAAATCTTATAAACTCCTACCCCATTCTTATAATAAAAATAGAATTACAAATTAGATGGCCTCACCAACATGACAAAAGATAACAACAACAAAAAATAACAAAATAGCCCAGACCGGATATAATCTACTTTCAATTTTAGACAAACAAAAACCACAATGATGCAATGACAACTCTAGCAACAGAAACAACAACGAGACCATAATTGTAGATACAATTTATAAATTTTCACATTCATCTTTATATAAATTAAGTATCTTCTGTATATACTTGTATTTAAATTGTAGAATGAATTAACAACATATATATATATATATATATATATATATATAAAAAAGAGAAAATTTAGTTTAATTGATTAAAAGAAAACTCAGCTTTGATCACAGGAATTAATTACATTTTAAAATATATTCAAATAGAAAAGTTATTTGAAATTGTAATATTTCACAATATTACCGTTTTACTGTATTTTTCATGAAAACAAAATGCAGCCTTGTTGAGCAGAAGAGACTTCTTTAAAAAAAAAAAAAAATCGTACGGATCCCACATTTATTAACTGTAATATATATATATATATATATATATATACACACACACACACACACACCTAAAGGATTATTAGGAACACCGGACTAATACTGTGTTTGACCCCCTTTCGCCTTCAGAACTGCCTTAACTCTACGTGGCATTGATTCAACAAGGTGCTGAAAGCATTCTTTAGAAATGTTGGCCCATATTGATAGGATAGCATCTTGCAGTTGATGGAGATTTGTGGGATGCACATCCAGGGCACGAAGCTCCCGTTCCACCACATCCCAAAGATGCTCTATTGGGTTGAGATCTGGTGACTGTGGGGGCCATTTTAGTACAGTGAACTCATTGTCATGTTCAAGAAACCAATTTGAAATGATTCGAGCTTTGTGACATGGTGCATTATCCTGCTGGAAGTAGCCATCAGAGGATGGGTACATGGTGGCCATAAAGGGATGGACATGGTCAGAAACAATGCTCAGGTAGGCCGTGGCATTTAAACTATGCCCAATTGGCACTAAGGCGCCTCAAGTGTGCCAAGAAAACATCCCCCACACCATTACACCACCACCACCAGCCTGCACAGTGGTACCAAGGCATGATGGATCCATGTTCTCATTCTGTTTACGGCAAATTCTGACTCTACCATCTGAATGTCTCAACAGAAATCGAGACTCATCAGACCAGGAAACATTTTTCCAGTCTTCAACTGTCCAATTTTGGTGAGCTCTTGCAAATTGTAGCCTCTTTTTCCTATTTGTAGTGGAGATGAGTGGTACCCGGTGGGGTCTTCTGCTGTTGTAGCCCATCCGCCTCTAGGTTGTGCGTGTTCACAAATGCTTTGCTGCATACCTCAGTTGTAACGAGTGGTTATTTCAGTCAAAGTTGCTCTTCTATCAGCTTGAATCAGTCGGCCCATTCTCCTCTGACCTCTAGCATCAACAAGGCATTTTCGCCCACAGGACTGCCGCATACTGGATGTTTTTCCCATTTCACATCATTCTTTGAAATGGTTGTGCGTGAAAATCCCAGTAACTGAGCAGATTGTGAAATACTCAGACCGGCCCGTCTGGCACCAACAACCACGCCACGCTCACAATTGCTTAAATCACCTTTCTTTCCCATTCTGACATTCAGTTTGGAGTTCAGGAGATTGTCTTGACCAGGACCACACCCCTAAATGCATTGAAGCAACTGCCATGTGATTGGTTGATTAGATAATTGCATTAATGAGAAATTGAACAGGTGTTCCTAATAATCCTTTAGGTGAGTGTATATATATTAAAAAACATAAAATGGGTTTTTGTAATTCCCTTTATCATCAATAATTCTCATAACTGTTATACTGTTTTTTCTCATTTAAATCAGCATACAAGCAAAACTAATATAGCAGAAAATAATACAATCATGTATGAATAGTTTACAATTTAATGTTTTTGTTTGTTGCATTACAGTAACGGCAATAAGATGTTTAATATTTGCAAGATAATGAGAATTTGAGGGAAAAATCTGTTTGTCAAAAAAAGAAAGAAAAGGATTTCTTAATGTAATTTATTTTGAATTTTGGGTTGAAATATAACTCAATAAGACAGCTATTGTGAGATCACCGATCTATAGAGCATGCAACATTTGATATAATGCTAATATATAATCAAACACGTTAAAAATGACAAATGATACACACAATAGCTAAAAATAATTAAAAAGTGTATACAATAATTACTCAAAACTCAAAAAAAATACATTATACATTAGCAAGGTGAGGGTGTATATGGCAAAAATCAAATGATCAAACGCAGGCTGATATATATACGATATTTGGCCATATTTTCAAGGAATTACATTAGAGTTAGAGGATGACATCAGCACTCTCTCTCTCGCAAGTCTGGGTTCCTCAGTTCTCAGGAACTGACAGAAGCTCTTCAGTGATTCGACTCGATTGGCATCATGAAACTGCCTCACATCCGTCTGAGATCCGGAGTGGAGAGAGAAAAGTCCCGCGTTGCAGCGTTCACACAGGAACTTTCTTCCCGTTTTCATTCAATATTGGTCTGACTAGCACAACAAAAGCATCATCCATGTGAGATCTCTAGGAATTCAGACGTCAGAGCTGATTCATCTCCGTTTCATTTGTTGTGCAACACGCTTTAAAATAGCTCTGTGGCAAAAGAATGACAACTTTTGCACACAATCTTCACTGCAATCTTTTGCTTTTCATATTTCATCATTACAGTTATCTTGGATAGTTCTGATTGGTCAACTGTGAGGTCTTTAAGAACCTCTTATGTTACTAACTGCAGTGGAAAAGCAAACCGAGCTAAAGTGTTATGATTTTTATGAAACGCTATGAAATTATGTTTTATGGATTTAAACATCTCAAATGTAACACATTAACATGTTTTCTCATAGGTATTACATTGCACGTTAATCCAATTAACTGTTATTTTGTGAATTCTAAAGTCATTTTAATATATTTGTTTACCTCTGAAAATCCACTTTCATTGAAATCTAGTGGCTTCTTTTTTTCTTGATTTTGCCTATTTTTTTTTCCCCTAAAGAATGCAGCTGGAATTAATGCAATAAACATGTTTTTTTGACAAAGATTTCAAATTGTTTGTGGTCTATATAACCTGCATCAGAATGAGGTCTGCAAAGGTGCGCCTGAAGGCACGGTTTGAAGACACAGTCAGTGGCGTCGCGATATGCAAATTTGTTTAAATTCATACTTACGTAATCACCATGACCAAAATTGCTTTTTTTTTTTTACATTGAATCTTGAAAAAAAATAATATATATATATAGGCCTACCTACCGACCTTCTTCTTTTTTTTTTTTTTTTGCTGTTACTGCAAACCAAAACATTTTTAAGGATGGCCTGGATCAGTGAAGGTTCAGGCTTCAATATCATGACATTCCCGACTGTGCTTTGCCTTTGATGGATCAATATAAATCACTGCCAAGGACTACCGAACCATTCTGGAGGACCATGAGCACCTATACCGGTTTAGATATAGTAGATAGTCAGACTTCAGATAGACATCTAAATCAGACCGTTGCACAAAGCACTTAAGACTCTGACTATCTTAAGTAGGACTACACTGCAATGCATTCTGGGTAAAATAAGACACTTTTCAAAACAAAAAACATGGCGGATCGAGTAAGCGCATTCAATACCCCAGCGGGAAATATGTGTTTGTTGGAGGAGTGTAACAGTTACAAGGACATTTTACTTGGGAAATTTAGCGGAGAATGTAGTAACAAGAAGAAATGTTTCATTTGGAAAGGGCCATTTTCCCTTTTTCTTTCGGCTGTTTGTAGTGTAACTGATTGTTACTGCTGGTTGCCAAGGTAACATATATGCTGCGTTCAGATTGCTACGACAGTTAACAGAGTTAATCCGACCGTTGAGCGGAGCGTTAAAGATGTACAGAAAATATACAAAAACATGGTACAAGTAGGTTACTGCGGTCCCTAAAAACCCGTTCCCTTCTTCTCATAGCTCTCTCCATAACGTCGTCAGCAAACCACAAATTATGAGCCATTTTCCCTCATCTTTTGGCTGTTTGTAAAGTAACTGATTGTTACTACTGGTTGCCAAGGTAACAGAGTCTTAGACCCAAGTTAGCCTGAGGGGGAAAAGGTGTCTAATTTTTTTGGTCTAAAAATTAAAGGGATACTCCACTTTTTTTGGAAATAGTCTCATTTTACAACTCCCCCAGAGTTAAACTGTTGAGTTTTACCGTTTTTGAATCCATTCAGCCGATCTCCGGTTCTGGCGGTACCACTTTTAGCATAGCTTAGCATACATCATTGAAGTGGACAAGACCATTAGCATTTCTCAAAAAAAAAAATGACCAAAGAGTTTTGATATTTTTCCTATTTAAAACTTGACTCTTCTGTAGTTACATCGTGCACTAAGACCGACGGAAAATGTAAAGTTGTGATTTTCTAGGCTGATATGGCTAGGAACTATACTCTCATTCCTGCGTAATAATCAAGAAACTTTACTGCCGTACCATGAGAGCAGCAGGCGTAATGATATGACGCAGCGCCTGAAAATAGTTCCGTTGTGTTGACGGAAGGTGGCCTATTTTCAGGCGCTGCGTCATATCATTACGCCTGCTGCACTCATGGTACGGCAGTAAAGTTTCTTGACACCTTAGTGCACGATGTAACTACAGAAGAGTCAAGTTTTAAATAGGAAAAATATCAAAACTCTTTGGTCATTTTTTTTTTTGAGAAATGCTAATGGTCTTGTCCACTTCAATGATGTATGCTAAGCTATGCTAAAAGTGGTACCGCCAGAACCGGAGATCGGCTGAATGGATTCAAAAACGGTAAAACTCAACAGTTTAACTCTGGGGGAGTTGTAAAATGAGCCTATTTCCAAAAAAAGTGGAGTATCCCTTTAAGTCAGTCTTTATCTTTGTGAAACAGTCTAACCTGCATTAGACTAGATGAGCAAATTTTAGACTTGTCTAACACTATAGACGGTCTAAAATAGCTTTGTGAAACTGGCCCCAGATCTCAATATTATTGAGCCACTTTGGGGTGTTTTGGAGGAGCGAGTCAGAAAAAGGTTTCCTCATAGTGACCCGGACACTGTTCTGCAAGAGGAACGGCTCAAAACCCCTCTGGACGCTGTGAAGAAGGACTTGTGTCTGTCATTCCAGAGACCAATTGATACTGTATTGGCTACAAAAGGAAACCCTATACCGTACTAATAAATTACTGAGGTCTATAACCAGGTGTTTAGTTTCATTGTCCAACCCCTGTATATATGTGTGTGTGTGTGTGTGTGTGTGTGTGTGTGTGTATGTAACCACACATTATAAATATATATTTATGTACTATTGTTTAGTGTTATATTTTTTACAATAGCCGTTTATTCTGAATATATTTATTCCATTATATGTAATAATATGTATAATAATCTAGCAGGCTTATGATGTCCTCTAGAAATGCTGATGTTTAGACTCGTGGGGCTTTTCAGTGCGAGGCAGTTTAGCCGACACGCAAAAAGCTACAACTTCCTTTTGCATCTCATTTGTCTCTAAAAACGTCTCCCATCATGCCAAAAATACAGACGCAAATTTTTGTGGAACAAGGAGTGTACGACTCAATCACAGAGTCCCTAAAGCCTCATTAACATTTCCTCATTTTACATTTAACCGTGATTTACACTGAACCCTTCTGACCCGAACGCTGTGGCCCGTCACGTCTGCTGAAGGACATAATCCTGACGGAGCATCACAGACTGTCTATCACAGCTGCAGGAAGTGATGCGTGTTCAGACACTTAATGACCCCACACATGAAAAAACTACATCAAACTCAACATTATTATCAGAAATGATGCAGTCACCCTGTATTATAAACACACATCCCAGAAGCCCTTTATCCTCCTGACGAACTGTCCTGCAGGGACTTCGGTCAGTGACGTGAAACCTTCCTTAATGATATTTCCAGTAAATAGTAGGATGGTATACACCCAATATAGAGAGCCTAAGCCCCTCCCCTCCGCTTCCGGCTCATGGGACCTTAATTCGGAAAAAATATGTATGGTAGTCAATGGCGAGAAACAACTTATCTTTTTATTCCGTCTGAACTGTGCCCTGAATTACATATATGATGTTTGTCAATTTAAAAGATAATTATGAAAGTCAAGAAAGTCGCAGTTTTTCATAAAACAGAGGAGTAACATTTAGTTTTATGTGAAAATCGATCAATGAACTACATCTCCCGGGAAGCGAAACAACGAGCGAGATCCGCTGCTCGTGTGTGTGTGCAGTCTGGTACAAAACACTCCGGCATGACGGCGTAACGTTACGATTATAACGTAAGAATATAGAAAACATGACAGACGTTAGCTTCTGTAAAGCTAGCTTCAGTAAAGTTAGCTTCAGTAAAGTTAGCTTCAGTAAAGCTAGCTTCAGTAAAGCTAGCTTCAGTAACGTTAGCTTCAGTAAAGCTAGCTTCAGTAAAGTTACCTTCAGTAACGTTAGCTTCAGTAAAGTTACCTTCAGTAAAGTTACCTTCAGTAAAGTTACCTTCAGTAAAGTTACCTTCAGTAAAGTTAGCTTCAGTAAAGCTAGCTTCAGTAAAGCTAGCTTCAGTAAAGTTAGCTTCAGTAACGTTAGCTTTAGTAAAGTTAGCTTCAGTAAAGTTAGCTTCAGTAAAGTTAGCTTCAGTAAAGCTAGCTTCAGTAAAGCTAGCTTCAGTAAAGCTAGCTTCAGTAACGTTAGCTTCAGTAACGTTAGCTTCAGTAACGTTAGCTTCAGTAACGTTAGCTTCAGTAAAGTTACCTTCAGTAAAGTTACCTTCAGTAAAGTTAGCTTCAATAAAGTTAGCTTCAGTTAAGCTAGCTTCAGTAAAGTTACCTTCAGTAACGTTAGCTTCAGTTTCAGTAAAGTTAGCTTCAGTAAAGTTAGCTTCATTCATGAGAGAAAATGTGCACCTTTGGGGTTTGTAGTCTTTGTAATTACGTATTTTCACAGTCTTATACCTCAACAGTTTTACATCAAACTGTGACTTTCTTGACTTTAAAATGTATCTTTTAAATTGACAAACATCATATGTGTAATTCAGGGCACAATTCAAACGAGATCAAAATATTTGTTGTCTCTCGCCATTGACTACCATACAATATTTTTCCGAAATAAGGTCCCATGGTGGCCGACCGGAAGGGGAGGGACTTAGGCTCTCTATATGATACGATTTAAAGGGAAAGTTCACCCCAAAAGGAAACTTCTGTCATCAATTTCTCGCCCTCTTGTCTTTCCAAACCTGCCAATGGCGATCATCTCAAACATGACAAAAATCAAGAGATTAATTGGTCTATCTGAGGTGTCGGTATCGCTATTAAGCATTATATTGACATTACACATGGTAAACCAATCAAAAATTCCAGATATAAGCTGTTAAATTTACAAATCTGCAAATATTAGTTATAATTAATTAACGAGATTATCTCTTTTTAATTAACTGATATCTGCAGACATGCAAATGTCAAAAGTGTCTCAAATGCTTTCAAACAGAAAAAGAGCATGAGAAAATTAAATTATATATCAGCAAGGCCAATTAATCGGTCAATATAGAAATATAATAAAATATATTCTTTTGGATTATCAGCATTGGCCCGTAATTACACCAACAGACGTGGTGTTTTGTAATCACCATAAATTCACCATCAGCTTTGTCAATGTAAAATGCACATCGTCTGTTTTCAAATGCAATAAATTTGCATAAATAATGTGAAAATAAGCATTTAATTTACCAACATTTAATTTTAATCATGAATCACAATATACACTTTCTTACAACTCAAAACCACAAAGCTGGGGTTGTGGTCAGAGCGTTGCTATGTGGTTGTTAGGTTGTATAATAGTTTCTAGGGCGTTGCTAGGTGGTTGTTCAGGGGATAGTTGCTATGGATTTCTAGCAGACTGCCAGGGAGATCAGTGTTGTTTGCTAGTCCAAGTCACCGTCAAATATTTAATCAGGTTTCGAGATATGAAGCGGGTCCGTAATGTAAAGTCTAATCGCTTAAAAAAAACATAACAATTAGGACTTGTGATCAAAGCTGAATTTTCAGCATCATTACTCCAGTCTTCATAATGTATGCGTGTGTGTGTATCAAAAACTCATCATACGCCTGAAATAGACACAAATGATGCATACAGTAAGTTAAACACACAGGATTTGCGTTTACTGACCCAAATAAAGCACAGTGGGGATGAAGCCCCAGCGGATGACGAACTGGCCGCACTGGAACACCTGCTGCAGCCGCTGCTTGCTCTCTTTGCTCAGTTTGCTCATGATTTCACTCAGATTTGATCAATTTTCGTCTTTGGATCCGATGTGGAGCAGTGAAGGGCACGGAAGACCGCAGGAAACACGTGTATGCCGTAAAGTGTGCGGCGGCGGCTGCGTTCCTGTGGTAACCGATTTGCGACAGTCGCAAAAAGGCGGAACAGTGACACCTAGCGGCCACACAAGGGACATCGAGACGGCAGCAGGTGCACGATTATGTCCATTTTGATCAGTTATATGTTTGTGAAGTATTTACACGTGACATGCTGAATGTAACTCGAGGGACATAATTGTGATCCTAGATTGTTTATTTATCTTAACATCGACATGTTCTAAGTTATGTAAAGGTGATTTATATGCATCTTACATTATTGTTTTGAGCTATGTGAAGTGATTATAACTTTGTAAGAGATCGTATTATTTCAATATAATTGTTCATTTGTGTTGCAGTTTGACAAATTGGTCAAACTGTAAAGAGAGTTTAGAGATTTAATTAGGCCTATTTATTTATTGTAAAAAATCATTATTAATGCTAAATTTAATATTGTATGTAAATATACGCATTTTGACGATTTAGTTGAATTACTGACTGATGACAGATATATAAAATAACAGAATCCCAGTCAGATTTTCACTTCATATAACTACTTTTTACACTATATAATTATATGACGTATATACTAGCTTTTAAGTTTAATTGACAATTTATTCGAAAGCAACTATGAATATAGTTTAATGTTTCAGCTCAATTGGACTATATTATATTATTATGAATGATGTAATACATAGAAATACAAAGAACTAAATAACTGCATGAATAACAATTATCAAATTAAATAATCAAAACGTGAACTTTCAAACCTAAAAAAAAAGTAATTAATTATGTACACAACCCGTTGTTAACAAACAGACATTTAATTGGAATACAAAATAAATTCACACATCACTTTTGTTCAATCATTTAATCTCAAAACTGTTCAGAAGGAATAAATCTATTGTCATTAAAAGTTGATTCGAAAAACATCATTAACTATATAAAAATCTAGAGGCATGCTGAAATAGAAATATTTATTTTCAGAGACTGTAACCATGTTATTTTGTTGATGAAAGGCAAAAAAAGAGACTTTAGTACAATAATATTTACAGTTCACAAGAAAATATTCACATTCTCAAAATAATCTGAATACGGACACAACCACTGTTATTGATGACCCACTTCAAATTAAAAGCACAAACCATTATGACCAGAAAAAAATGCCTTCAAAAACACTTCCAATGAGATGTCTTCCAAAATATAATTATAATAGAACCAGACAAATATTGATGCAGTGATGCACCAATAAAAAAAATTATAATAATAATAATTAGTCCAAGAAAAAAACTAAAATCACTGATTTCTCTTTCATTTTAATATCAAGAAATGATTTCTGGCTTATAATCACACTGTTTTATGGGTCTCTGCCGTAGTGCTTTGCATTGAAAGCATGACATCAGTTGCTGAACTCCCATAATGCATCTCTTTAGCATCTCTTATGGCCTCGCGCATCCTCACACACAGCAATTCAAACAATAAACATATTGCTTTTCAAATACCGCATGAAAAACAATGTAAACGAAGACGACCACAGTTTTGATTTGGTGTCTTACTCCACCAGATTTTCCACTCTGGGTTTTGTAATCGAGCATCCAAATTCCCATGGAAACAGTGTTAAATGATGGCTTCGGTTCAAGCCCAGTGCATGCTGGGATACTAAGAGCAGGGGGAACTGCAGAAGACGTGTGAGCTGCGAACACACACACACATAAATGAAAACCACACACGGTTCAGTATGCGTGATCTTCTCTCAAACGCTCCCAGACAGACGCGCATTAAAAAGCTCGTAATCGCATGTAAACTTCATGGATCGACTTCATACCTTGAAGAACAAACTGGGAAAAGTTCAAGTTTGCTTTAAAAACACTTACTTCAAAAATACATGACTTTGGTGATTACACACAACAACAACAACAAAAAAACAAAACAAAAAAAAACTAGAAACAGACCGACTTTCCTGTAAGGTGCAGTTTTGTGCCTGTGTGTGTTAGAGTCGCATTACTGTAGTCAGAAGGTCACAGGTCAGAGGTCACGTGGATACTGATGGTGGGCGAGCGCTGCCGATGCTGGTGGGCGGGGCTTAAGTGCTCGGAATAGGCCACGCCCTCGTCCGGCAGGCCCCCGTCAGGAGCGTGATTGGCCGTGGGGCTGGACGCGCGGCTCGACGACTGGTTCCCGCCGGAGAACACGTTGCTGACCTGCTCGAACGAGCGCGAGAAGACGGCGCTGGCGGTGCGCGACAGGCTGAGCGAGCCGCTCTTGGGCACCGATTGGCTGGCCGTCAGCGTCAGGCGTTTGAGTGACAGGAGCTCCAGGTTCTCGCTCATGGCGCGGACGGCCGCCTGCTTGCGCGTGAGCTGATCCATGTCCTTCTCTTTCTCCTTGTCTTTGCTGGATCTGCCCGTCAGGCGACGCAAACCCTTTCCCGTCGGCTTGGCTCCGCCCCCGCTGTTGCTGATGACGATGGTGGGGGGGCTGGCCTGACCCTGAGCTCCGGACACCTGTGTGCAGATTCCCTCGTCCACCTCCGCGATCTCCGTCAGCTCGTCCGGGGAACCCAGATCCACTGCGTCTGCGCCGGGACACAACACACTTATAGAAGCACTTCCTACAATCAGATCTGACACATGCAATACAATTGTTTAACACTCATTTTGGTTTTTTTTTTTTGCTCTGTATAACAAAATAAACGCATTTTTGCTCTCGACAACTATTTGTAAAGTTAAGAAGTCTTGTATTATCTCTTAATCACCAGAAAAATAAGTCAAGTTACAACTATTTGTTCAATTCTCAGCTGAATTTTCACAAGTACAGGTGAAACTCGCAAAAATTAGAATATCATTTATTTCAGTAATTCAACTTAAAAGGTGAAACTAATATATTATATAGACTCATTACATGCAAAGTGAGATATTTCAAGCCTTTATTTGTTAGAAATTGGATTTTTAAAAAGTTTTTAAAGTATTTTAAGCCATAATCATCAAAATTATAACAAATAAAGGCTTGTTATATCTCACTTTGCATGTAATGAGTCTATATAATATATTAGTTTCACCTTTTAAGTTGAATTACTGAAATAAATGAACTTTTGCACGATATTCAAATTTTTCGAGTTTCACCTGTAGCGTTAGAAATAAGGATGTTTAAAGTACATGAATGTTTCTTTTTTACCAATGCATCTGGTGCAGAAATCAGATTTAAGAGCATTATCAGGACAGACAGATGAGAAGCACAACACTCGAGCTCAAACTCTACAGACGTCCTCTAAGAGTGAGCCGAGTCTTCGGGGGAATAAAGCAGGATTCAGCAGAGGGAGCTGTTGGCAGGACGGAGGTTTTTAGGGAGAAGGAAGGAAGGAAGGAAGGAAGGAAGTGTGCAACATCACAAACCAGAAGTTTAAACTAGGAGAGAAGGAACAGACTGACAGGAAGTTCAGATGTTTTCTGTTGGGTGATAGTATTGTAGACAGGTTCCCTGGTTTTAGTATGGAGGTGTTATTATTTGATTTGCTATAGATAGATGGAAATGAATGAGAAGCATCAATTTGTTTTGTATTTAATTAAAAGATAAAGATACCTGAAAAGTTTGTTATGAACCTCCTTTTTGAACATGGGAAATACTAATTTGAATTACTTACAATAATTGTGGAAGATTGTGCTGAGAAGTACATGATTTTATAAAGCCGTTATTTTAATTTTATATATGTATGCATGTCTGTATATATATATTTTTTTATTTTCTTACACGTTCAAAAAAAAAAAAAAAAAATTTTTTTTTAAAAACAATACAGGTGAAACTCGAAAAATTAGAATATCGTGCAAAAGTTAATTTATTTCAGTAATTCAACTTAAAAGGTGAAACTAATATATTATATAGACTCATTACATGCAAAGTGAGATATTTCAAGCCTTTATTGGTTATAATTTTGATGATTATGGCTTATAGCTTATGAAAACCCAAAATTAGAATATTGTGAAAAGGTTTTCATGGCTATAAGCCATAATCATCAAAATTATAACAAATAAAGGCTTGAAATATCTCACTTTGCATGTAATGAGTCTATATAATATATTAGTTTCACCTTTTAAGTTGAATTACTGAAATAAATTAACTTTTGCACGATATTCTAATTTTTCGAGTTTCACCTGTAGCGTTAGAAATAAGGATGTTTAAAGTACATGAATGTTTCTTTTTTACCAATGCATCTGGTGCAGAAATCAGATTTAAGAGCATTATCAGGACAGACAGATGAGAAGCACAACACTCGAGCTCAAACTCTACAGACGTCCTCTAAGAGTGAGCCGAGTCTTCGGGGGAATAAAGCAGGATTCAGCAGAGGGAGCTGTTGGCAGGACGGAGGTTTTTAGGGAGAAGGAAGGAAGGAAGGAAGGAAGGAAGTGTGCAACATCACAAACCAGAAGTTTAAACTAGGAGAGAAGGAACAGACTGACAGGAAGTTCAGATGTTTTCTGTTGGGTGATAGTATTGTAGACAGGTTCCCTGGTTTTAGTATGGAGGTGTTATTATTTGATTTGCTATAGATAGATGGAAATGAATGAGAAGCATCAATTTGTTTTGTATTTAATTAAAAGATAAAGATACCTGAAAAGTTTGTTATGAACCTCCTTTTTGAACATGGGAAATACTAATTTGAATTACTTACAATAATTGTGGAAGATTGTGCTGAGAAGTACATGATTTTATATAGCCGTTATTTTAATTTTATATATGTATGCATGTCTGTATATATATATATTTTTATTTTCTTACATGTTCAAAAAAAAAAAAAAAAATAATTTTTTTTTTAAAACAATACAGGTGAAACTCGAAAAATTAGAATATCGTGCAAAAGTTAATTTATTTCAGTAATTCAACTTAAAAGGTGAAACTAATATATTATATAGACTCATTACATGCAAAGTGAGATATTTCAAGCCTTTATTGGTTATAATTTTGATGATTATGGCTTATAGCTTATGAAAACCCAAAATTAGAATATTGTGAAAAGGTTTTCATGGCTATAAGCCATAATCATCAAAATTATAACAAATAAAGGCTTGAAATATCTCACTTTGCATGTAATGAGTCTATATAATATATTAGTTTCACCTTTTAAGTTGAATTACTGAAATAAATGAACTTTTGCACGATATTTTTCGAGTTTCACCTGTATTGGTAATGGACACAATTATCAGCTCTAACTTCCATGAAACCTCCTCACTGATGGTTATATCAGACGCATCATTTCCTGTCAGTCTTGTCTCGTTTCTCGGGCGTCTAAAGGGAGGTTGTTTCCCTAGGCAACCCAGTGGATAAGTGTCGGGAAAGGAGGTTTCATAATTGGCTTCTCTGACAGCGGAAAGTGAGGCGGGACTGAAGCAGTGCAGGGCATTTCCAGCGTTGGTTAGCTGTGAGTTCAGGAGGTTTGATCGGATGGAAAACACTCGAAACGCAGAAATGAAGGGAAAAAAACAGAGATGTGGAACGAGTTGGCGAATGCGAAAGAAATTAGACGCGAGAGTGTTAAGACATAACATAAAAAAACAGGGACATTCATAAAGTTAAGGAGAGGATTTCAGGAGAGCGTAGAGGAATACTCCAGGATCAAGAGAAGCTCGATCCACAACGTGTGTGATATAATGTAGAAACAGTTTAATGGGTCCCCAAGTAAAAAATAAATTAATAAATATTTATTTAAAAAAATAAATTAATAATAATATAATTGTATAGAATTACAACATATAATTGATATATAATAAATGTTTATTTAAATAAATAATACATTAAGAATAATAATAAACATGTATAATTGTATCTAATTACAATATATAATGTAATATATAATAAATACATATTTATTTAAATAAATGCTACATTAATAATAATAAAAATATACTAACTTATAATAATTGTATCTAATTACAATATATAATTTTATAATATAATTATAATGAAGTTTATTATTATTAATTTATCTAATTACAAATTTGTTTTAATATAATAAATAATAAATGTATTTAAATAATACATTCATAATAATAGATGTAATTATAATAATTGTATCTAATTACAATATATAATTTAATATATAAATGTTAAATTATATATATATATATATATATATATAAATTGTAATAAAAAATTATAATATAGAAATACATTATATATATATATATATATGTGTGTGTGTGTGTGTGTGTGTATATAAAATAAATATATGTATATATTACATGCATATTGTTTGAAAATATTTATGCATGCACAAACAATAAATTAATCTAATTAATTATTTATATATATGTATATATAAATATATATATTTATTTATTTTTTATAGATTAATGGACAGAGTTAATAGACATTATGCCACTAATGCTGTGGATCGCGCTTCACCTTTGAACCCGGCACATTCCTTCCAGAAAAAGTTGCTGGTTGACACTCTTCAGGGTTTACATATCTTAAATAATGAACACGCTTATGAAGACGCTCCGCCCCACACCAAGTACCTCTGGGCCCGAGGGGAGAGGGGGGGGTGTGTGGGACGAGGGGGGGTGGGGTGGGGCTCTACAGCTGAACCCGCCCCACGGAGGGCGTCCCGTCCCGCACGGACTTCTGCCTCCTGACCTCTTGACCTCTAGGGTCGACCCCCACCTCAGTGGCGCCCCCTAGCGCCTCCCCCTCCGTCCTGCAGCGAAGAGCCTCTCCGTTGGCCAGCCGTTCCCCGCTGACCCCCGTTACGCTAATCTCAGGGATGGGCCCCGTCGGGCAGGAGTCAGGGGAGTCTACACTGTCCTCCTGAGACTCTGAGACACACACACACACACGGATACATGCATGATGGGTGACGTGATGAGACGTACATGGAAAGAAAATCTGAAACATCTCAAGACAAACATAAACAGTTCAAAATAATACAATAAAAATGGACACATGACAATGAAATGAAAGCGTCTCTCAAAATGCACTTCACATTTTGAATTATATTATTATTATAAATGTATAATTAAATGACAGTGTTATAATAAAATCATATAAATATACAGCTAATTATAATTAAATTATATTGTTATAATAAATTATAAATATTATATTTAACTAAAAAATGAATTATATTATTTTATAATAACTGAAATATTATGAACAATTATTTAATAATTATATATATTTTTTATAAAATATTACAATTAAGTTTATAATCAAATTATAGCATTATTAATAATATATTATGTTATAAGCATAATATATAGTACATAAATTAACCATTATTAATATTATTACCAAATATGTTTATAACTTTATAAGCATTAAAATATATAGTTATTATAAAATATAATGAAAATAGTAAAATATTTATAAATTATATTATAAATTTTTTTTTTTATGTTTAATAATTAAAATTGAGATATTTTTTATATAAAAAAATATTTTGTATATTATTATTAAAATAAACTATCATTTTATACTAGTTATAATACACAGCTATTGTAAATGTAAATTCAAATTAAAAACAAAGAGACTCAAAACAGTAAATCTAATATTACAGTTTAAGAAATGATTAAGAAATAAGCTTTGAGGCACAAATGATTTAATGGGGCGATTTATACACTAAAAGTGTCAAATTTAGGGTTAGGGCTTCAGATCACTAGCAGCGATGACGCTTGCCTTGGCGAACAGCACTAATGAGTGTGTTTGGTGCTTAATTGTGGCTGACGAACAGAAAAGCCGTCATTAACTCTGAAACGCCTGAGCACTAATTAGTCAGATGGCGTGGTGTCGGGATGAGAGAGAGCCACTCGCGTCAAAGCTGTGCCAAATACCACGTTATTACGATCTATGACCCGTTAAAATGTGAGCAGGGATCCCGTCTGGCCCGAGTCGTCGAAACATCAGGATGTGGGAAAAACCTCCGGAGAGTTTTAATACTAGGCCATGGAATCCGTCAGGAAGTGTGAGTCACCATGGCAACTCATCCTCACCGTGGCGTTTCCAGCGATGGCCTCGGATAGACAGGCTGGTGACGGCGTTCCTGGAGATCCGGGAGGCGGTGGGAGTGATCTCCACCTGGATGGACCGAGTGCCCTCTTTATTAGACTTCAGAGTAGCGCCGTGAAGAGACGATTTGATGGCGTTTCCCACCTGAGAAACATCAGGAACAGAAGATCAATCTCTGTATATAGAGCCATGCAGACACATCTATGGTACATATTGAAAATTAGTGGCGTAAAAATGCACAGATGCATCTGACAATGACAATTCAATGCATTATTGTATATTCCATTTAAACGGTGTAATATGACGTTTATTTTTTTAATCTAAGACAATATAAATGTAAAGCATGGAATGTATATTGATTTTTCTTATATATATATATATATATATATATATATATATATATATATATATATATATATATATATATATATATATATATATATATATATATATATATACACACACACACACATTATAGACAATTCTGCAAGTTAATTTAAGTAAATTTCAACTGTAAATTGTTATAAATAATATAATTACTTTTAATAAAATTAATAAACCTACAAATATATAATTTTAATGTTTTTAAAATTAATTATAATATATGATTCATAACAACTGGATAGTTAGATAGTTGCAAAATTAAAAACATTGTTATGAATCATATATAATAAATGTTTATGAATATATATATATATATATATATATATATATATATATATATAAAATATACAATTTTGCAAATGTTGCAACTGTTAATTATTATAAATCATAATAAAATTATATAAAAAAGAAATTATATTTATTGAATGTAATTTATTATAAAGACAGATTTGATTCATTTTAGACAGTTGCAAATTATCCATCCATTCCAATTTTGCATATACATTATATATATATATATATATATATTAGGGGTGTAACAATATATCGTGTCACAATATATCGCGATACAAAAATGCAACAATACGTATCGTGGATAGTGACAATATGTATTGTGTATAGTTCACCCAAAATGACAATTACTGTGCGTGAAAAAAGTTTTTTAGTGTCAATACTACATTAAACTGCTATATATAATGTTGAATATAATGTATAATAAAGCAATGGGGGAATATATGTGTGTCCTGATAATGTCACATGTCTGATGTTACCAGTAAAAAGTGGCTTACATTATTTTAAATATATCAAGTCAGTGAAAGAGCGCAAGCATACTTCAGTATTTTCATATTCAGAATCACCAGTTATTCTGGTGTCTCTATTGTCCTGTGCTTTGGGTTTCAGCACCAAGTCCAAGCCGATTCATTTACACACACCTAATGTAATACCAAATTTAGCATTCATTTTTGTTAACCTTTTATCACGTCTCTTGAGTATCGCAATAATCGTGAGTTCAGTATTGTGATATGTATCGAATCGTGACATGAGGGTATCTTTAAACCCCTAATATATATATATATACATATATATATATTTTATACATATTTCATTTAATTTTAGTAAAGGCTCATTATCAAATCAAATCACTGTGTAAATGTTTACTCCTAAACAGCAGTAATTCCTCCTGTATAGCCTGTGTGTGTGGTGTTGTAAGTGTTTGCTTCTGTCACCACAGTCGGCCATTCTAACGGGATCAGTGAATGCGTTTCAGAAATGTTGGTAATCTGTAGAGCTTCAGCTGATTTCTGTAATCTGTGCTCGAGCGTGAGGGATCTGAAACCCACCAGCAGGGCTTCTGGGAAGAGCTCCAGCTGAGACCGGTACAGCACATCATCCAGAGCCTTGGAGCCCAGGTCCACTTCACCGTTACACCTGCACACACACACACACACACACACGATCAAAAACAACATCTCTGTCATCATCTACTCACCCTCATCTCAATCCAAACCCATATGCTGTTATTTCATCATTGGAACAAAAGAGGAGAATTAATTATTTTTAATCTGCCAAATGGAAATGATTATCGGCAGATGTCGATAATCTCAAAATGGCTAAATAATAATGGCCAAATACGGTATACAGAATTCTTATATGGAATATTTTTCCATACAAGGGAGACCATATCTGTCAAGAGCCTTCAAAAAAATCTTTATGTTTCCCAGAAAAATAAATAAATGAAAAAGAATCAAGGTATATAGTGTTGGAACAAAATTACAGTAGTTTTTTTTTTTTTAAATTTAACCATGAAAAAAGAAAAGAAAAAACTATTTCTAAAATTTGGGAACTGAGACAAAAGGGAACGCCTTATTTTTAAATCAGCCAAATGCAAATGATTATTGACTGGATAATTCCTTTTTGAAGAGTATTTTTCTAAACGAGTGAAATCAAGAGTACAAACATCCTTCAAAAAGATCCTTGTGTGACGCACAGAAAAAATAAACAATATCGAGGTATAAAGAATTGGAACAAAATGATAAAGTAGGAAAAATAACTAAAAACATATTTAAAAATTATTACATAACTATTTCTAAATGTTGTAACTGATACAAAAGGGAACAACTTACAGGTGAAACTCGAAAAATTAGAATATCGTGCAAAAGTTCATTTATTTCAGTAATTCAACTTAAAAGGTGAAACTAATATATTATATAGACTCATTACATGCAAAGTGAGATATTTCAAGCCTTTATTTGTTATAATTTTGATGATTATGGCTTACAGCTTATGAAAACCCCCAAATTCAAAATTAGAATATTGTGAAAAGGTTTTCATATCTGTAATCCATAATCCTCAAAATTATAACAAATATAGGCTTGAAATATCTCACTTTGAATGTAATGAGTCTATATAATATATTAGTTTCACCTTTTAAGTTGAAATACTGAAATAAATGAACTTTTGCACGATATTCTAATTTTTCGAGTTTCACCTGTATTTTTAAGCCAAATTGAACTGATAATTGGCAGATGCCACGCCCCATTAGACAAACATGTAGATAATGATGACATGGGCGTAGTGAGCCGAGACGTGAGGCCACGCCCCCACCAGTCACGGTCACGCCCCCACCAGTCACGGCCACGCCCCCTCCAGTCACTCCCAGAAACACTCGTCTGATAACAGGTTTGGTAGGAAAGAGTCTTTAGTTTTGAATCACTCACAGTGCAAAATGAATCCCCGTGATGAGCTGCACCAGGAACTCTGACGTGACCATCAGCCGCGCGCTGATGCCTTTATACCGCCGCAACTGTTGCCTTGGATAACCACAGATAGAAACTCTGAAAAGACAAGAATACATCAGCAAACAGACTCAAATTAACTCAAATCTACATTATGTTGGTCTCACTGCTTTCTAGATATCAGTATCGGCCAATAAAAAGCCCATGTTGGTCAAGCACTGGTTCAGATCCATCACTGTGATGATCAGGCCCATGACGAGACCTTTGACCTGCAGTCTTTGTTAACGCAACTGTAAACATTAGCTGATTGGTTAAATAATCAGTCATGTGATCATCTCTCACTGGATGACGCGGCTTAAATCACTGTGGGAAAAGACCAATCGCAGGTCTGAGTCCACGCAGGTCTATAAGAGGATCAGGGTGATTGGAAACAGAGAGGATCATGGGAGGATTTGAGATGAAGAGAGGCATTATCCACACAAACACCTGACCTGAAGGCCTGACCAAAGCAGATCTGAACAGCGTGCCAACAATGATTCTGATATATAAAAAACAACTTAACAGCAATAAATAGTATGTAAACTAGGTGAAATTAAATGAACACTTATATTACGTAATATGTATTCATATAAATAATGTAAATAAATAAGTAAAACATGAATAATAAATAAAAATGTACTTAAAAAAAATATAATTACAAATGAAAAAAACACAAATGTATTTATTAAAAAAAAATATATATTGACTATAATAATAATAATAATATATATTTAAACAAATAAATTAATAAATCATTTATCTACAATATATATATTTACCAACATGAATAATAAATAATTTATTTAAATAAATAAAATAATTAATAATTACAGATGTATTTATTCAAAATAAAATATTGAATATATTATATAATAATAATATTAATATATTTAAATAAATAATGCATTTAAATAAATAAATAAAAAATGTATTTATTTAAATCCATTATTTATATCCAATATTTACCAACAGCCTCGGCAATGGATAATAAATACATATTTAACAAAAAAAAAAAAAAAATCGTAATTTTAAATGAATAAAAGTTAAAATACAAAAAAAAAAAATATATATATATATATATATATTTATTTATCTACCAACAGCATTGGATATATTATTATTATTTAAACTAATTTGGAAACTGATAAAAAATGGATTCATTTATTTTTAATCAGCTAAATTGAGATTCGTGAATGTCAAATATCAGACAAATTATAAACCTGGCCGATATATTGTCCAAGTGTGTAGGTTTGGTTTAAAACTTGGCAGGGATACATATCAACATGGCAGGAGACAAGCGTTAGAGATATCTATCTATCGTATCTATATCTATATATACAGAAAACCAGCAATTAAAGCAGTGAATCATATAATCTTGATCATACTCAAAATGTTGGTGTTATGGAAATTGCATCAGTTGTATCAGTCCATCAAAACCCTCAGGGACCATAATAAAATAAAACCTGATTGAATGTTGTCATGGTGTTTATAAGGACTAAAACAGTTTTTTTTTAATTCCTCAGTGTGTCATAAGTCAAACCTGGAGCTGAGCTGACACAGAGACTGCAGGGACGAGCTGGTCATGTAGCTCAGAGCCGCATTATAACACAGCAGCAGAAACGTCAGGACTTCAAACCTGCAAAACACATGACCATCATCATCAAATTAAAGCAGAAATACATAATTAAATCCACTTTAACCCCCTCCAGTCAGCACGCATTTGCGGATTAAAAATGGATGACAAAAGCATGGAGCGCAATATGAATATTTGATGCGGCGCACACCTGTTCTGTGCTGTAAAGGTCTCTCGCTGCAGGTGCGGGCCGCTGTAAACCACTCGACTCAAGCCGTGATTGGCTAAGGCTCCTTCCGTCAAGGCCAGAGAGCCAAACGAGGACGGCTGGAGGCGGGGCAGAGACACGGTCAGAACGAGCACATCTGAGGATCACGATCGGGACGTTTGATTCACTCACCTCGTGGTAAACTGATGGCTTGGATAAGGAAGGGATGGTGAACGACAGCACTTTACTCTGCCCGTCTTTATCAACGATTTCCTGGAATAAACAATCATAATGAGGACTGATCGGATTCAGAGACATGTGTGAGGGAACATGTAAACAAACATACAGCGTTATAATGACAATAACTAAAAAAGATATTGTTTCCGTATTGAATATATTCATGGACGTAACCTAAATTACTCTGCCTTCAAGTCATCTGTGAATAATCATATTTCACACAGATGAGTTCATTCAACATGGGAAACTTGTTTTTGTTGTATTTTGTGTGCGGTTGATGAAGAATAGCACTAAAAGCTTGCCAGAAAACACAACTCATTTAGCAAGTTATTGAACCAACAGGCTTTAAAACATTTCCCATCAGTCTCTGTGGCAGAATAATAAACCACAGACAAAGCATCAATTACACATAATGCATTTTCATTTTGTTGCATTAGCACTGAAAAAAAAAAAAGCTTCCTGTCTTTGTCGGAAAATGAAACTAAAAATAAATCTGCAATGGCCAAAAGAGACTGTTTTATTTCAATTAAAACTAATTTTATAAAATGCATAGAGATAAAAAGCAGTAAAAATTATGTAGATCATTTTAAATATTTATCTATTTGATTTAATATCCAAAAATTAATATACAAAAAATTATATTACACAAATATTTCCTAGAAAAATATAATACAAATTACAGAAATATTTCCCCCAAAAATCAAATAAATAACCTGGTACACAAAAAAAAAGCTAAGCTGAATTTCTAAAAATACATTACAATCTTCATCACAATTTTTTTATATATGTTTTGATGCTTTTGCAATATTTGTATGTAAAACAATGTTTTGAAACCGGGACCGAGATTCTAGTGCACTTGATCTTTATGTAAAACTGTGTTTGCGTACAACAACAAAAGACCAGGATAAAGCAATTTGTCATTTGATGGAAAGTAAAAAGTATCTTGTAACTGAAATAGTTGCTCTAAAAACAACAGAGCTATTGTCACAATAAAAAAAAATAAAAAAATGTAGTTAAGTTGGTATGAGGTTCAACACTTTGAGCTGGTTACTCTCCAACAGTGATGATGTGTCAAGAAGAGTTTGTTAAACACACGTGACGAGATTGCGCAACCGAATCATGATGAGACTGCAGAACTGTTGTACAAGACTCAGGAGTTCTTCAGGTGTAAAGACAAACCAGATCAAGTGAGATTTCAGTGTGTGTTAGTCTCTAAAACAGGACGCCCACCGGCCTGCTGCTGTCCCAGTCGATTTCAGAGCCGACGGCGTCAGGATGACTAATCGCTCCCTGACACCCCGATGGCATGTGATTGACAGATGACCTACTCTGGTATTCAGGGCGAAGTGAGGAGGGAGGGCGAGTTCACGGGGCGTAAAACCCATGAAAGACCGCCGACCTCGCTGACAGCCTGGCTTCCCTTCTCACAGCCGGCTGGAAAACATCACTTCCTGATTAAGTGAAAATCCATGGCTAAAGTTCACAGGAAAAGCAGAGGAAGTTGCTGTCCGCCCGACATTTACAACACCGTTTTTAGGGAGTGAATCAGGAATCGGTCTCAACTTGAAATATCTGTCAAGTCACCTTTATTTCTAAAGCCCTTTATACAATACAGATCAAATCCATAATAAAATTGCAGTCAAATTAATAAAATTACTGATCATTAAAGGTGACCTTTTTACAAGATGTAATATATAAGTCTCTGATGTCCCAGAATGTGTGTGAAGTTTCGACTGAAAAAAACCCACAGATCATTTATTATAGTTTGTCAAATTTCCCCTGTTTGGATGAGAACAAAAACACACAATGGGTCTCATTCATAAATATACGAGTAAATATGAGAGTGATTTGTGTGTAAAGAGACCTTCCCGAAAACTCATCTCCTGATTCACAAATACTTCGTAAACGTCAGATGTGATAGTGAAATGTGTGTGTGTGTTAATAAATTCCAATCAGTCGTAAATTGGACGCGCGTGCACACTCATTCTCAATTACCATAAATCCCGCCTATTAAATCCGACTGACAACTATATCTGGGCATCATATTATGACACCAAACGAGGGATTTCAACATGTCTTCTCAAAAGCGAATGAAAAAGAAAAATTTCTCAGATGCAGAAATCGAAGTTTTATTATCAGAAGTTCATTCAAAACACCACATTTTATTTTCAAGCGTAGGCTACATTAGTGGCGTATCAGGTCCTAAAGAAAAGCCAGCTTTGGCAGCATATTACAGATGCAGTTAATGGAGTTTCATAAGTAAAAGGAAAAACCGTGTGTAATTACTATATATAATATTTTTTTTCAAAATGCTGTGTAAATATGTACCCGATTAAGGTGAATTAAAATGCAGCCTTAGTTATTAATGAGCAAAACGTTCGGATGTTAAACTCACTGTTTACGCGTGGCTGGGAGCAGGTGTAGATTACTTTCGTACCAACTAACATTTGGAAAATACGAACATTTTAATGAATCCGAAAATTTACGCCAGAACCACTTTACACACGATTTACACACAAATTCGTTCTGCTCGTGTTTCATGAATGAGACCCAATGTGTGTCTCTTTATGTGCAAATGAGCAGCTGCAACCTTTCCTCATCCAGACCCTTTACAGCTCGTGCTTCAGATACTCCGTCAACAGCAACACTGGAGAATCTCACGCAGCCAGAAAGTCAGAAATGATCAGTAGTGGTGTTCAGCTTTACATGTGCAGACCGGAGTCGGACACTAGAGAGACTCAGAATGAAGTGACAACTTCTCGAATGCAACTGGACGTTTCTGAATGGTTAGTGGATACATTTATGTAGGCTAGTTGTTGTGGAGTAAAGTTGATTCAACTCATCGACTAGCATGTACGGTCATGTTAATCTAAAAATCTCACAGAAACAACTTTCACAAATCCAGCGTTGAACTGACCCTCGTGTGTGAAGCAGTCTGGCGTAAAATAATTTGCGCAAAAAAACCCTAAACTTTAACGACTTTCCTTGGCACATTTCCTTCATAAATTAAATTCATCCACATGTCCTCAGTGACTCAGACACCGGGAGTATATATATATAGGGAAAAAAATTATATATATATATATAGGAAAAAATGGGGGGGGGGATTACATCACAGCTTAGATAGATAGAGAGAGAGAGAGAGAGAGAGAGAGAGAGAGAGAGAGAGAGAGAGAGAGAGAGAGAGAGAGAGAGAGAGAGAGAGAGAGAGAGAGAGCTGTGACGTAGTGGTTTATTTATTTCTGTAAATTATAAATTATATATATATATATATATAGGAAAAAATGGGGGGGGGATTACATCACAGCTTAGAGAGAGAGAGAGAGAGAGAGAGAGAGAGAGAGAGAGAGAGAGAGAGAGAGAGAGAGAGAGAGAGAGAGAGAGAGAGCTGTGACGTAGTGGTTTATTTATTTCTGTAAATTATAAATTATATATAAATTCTGAATGGCCGGTAACTTCAAAATTTAGTAGCGAAATTGGCTGGTGAGTGAAAAAGTTAATTTCAAACCCTGTTTATGAGGATTAAAAAAATAAAGAGGGTGCATTTTTACTATTATAGGCTGGTTGTTTACACACACTGTACACACAAATTTTGTGTAATAGGTCCTCTTTAAAGCAGCACTAAGTAGTAGGGATGCACCGAATCCAGGATTCGGATTCGGATTCGGCCGAATATTGGGCTTTTTAACGGGGTTCGGTTTCTGCCGAACCTCAGAATTTTTTTCCACCGAACCGAACCCTAGGCTTGCACTACGTCGAAGTCACCGATCAGTGAATGACATCAAAGTACCGCGTGAACGAATAGAGAGCAGACGGCTCCTTATGCTTTTGAATTGCTCTCGCGGGACTTTGATGTCATAAACTCATCTGTCTATGCAGCGCCGGTTCAAGTCGAACAAGTAGTTATTGCAGAGGCCAGACAGACTCACGGAGGCGATTGGCATCTCACAACTCGCACTTTATTCCACGATCGAACTTGTGTAACTGTCTGTCACACGTTCTACCGTCCACAGCGTTACTTAACAAAATAAGGTAAAAATGAGCATCAAACAGAAATAACCCGCATACATGGGCATGTGTTCGAGGCGCACGACACATACGGCGCGCAGTTCTTAAAGGGGACACACCTTATTTCCACTCGCTACAGTAGGTGGACCGTTCTAATGCAGTAGGCTGTGAGAAAGTGAAAATGGAACTCGTGAGCAGAAAAAGTGTTGTTTGGCAGTACTTTCAGTGAAAGAAGGCAATTCAAGTCGAGCTACATGTTCAATTTGCAATGCCGATTTGTCTCATGGTGGCAAGGAGTCAAGGACTCTAAATAGGCTACACAACATCGCCGCTGTTAAAACGCATATAATGTTGCTTTTTTTTTTTTTTTTTTTTACAGTTATAAAAGTAAAAGTAGTGTTTATTATTTACAGTAATTAAATAAAATGAAAAATCCACTTTGTTTACTTCATTAATGTGTTTACTGTGTTAATGGACTGAGGATGAGAGTAGGATTCGGTATTCGGTTTCGGATTCGGCAGAATCTTAACCAGTGGATTCGGTATTCGGCCGAACCCCACAAATCTGGATTCGGTGCATCCCTACTAAGTAGGAATTCCGTTTTTGTCAAACAGCGACCCCTAGAGTCGCTGTGGAGTACTCGTACTGTCGTGAATAGCACTCACGCAGAGATGGCTCGCACTCACGGCCGGATCCCCTCCCCCTGTACACCGGTACCTGTTCAGTAGGATGGACGCTGTAACGAGTGGAAATAAGGTATGGCCCCTTTAAGAGCTGCGCGCGCCCTGTTTAACTGTCGGCAGTCTGTATTGTATGTGCGCCTCGAACACCACATGTATACGGCGCCGGGTTATTTCTGTTTGATGCGCATTTTATCAGAATTTTATCAGATCTGTTTTTTGCCGTAAAGCAATTCGTTACCTCGCGAGACCTGATATCACACGATACTTCCTAACACTGAGGCCGGCGGCACGCCGGCCCAAAGTTGCAAGGGTGGTTTTGCGGCTCACAGGCACCAGGGGGGTGCGAGACGACCACCATTCAACACGAAATCAATAATATAAACATTACAATGATTTCAAAGCTGTTCGGTTAAGGTAAAAAAGTGACTTAGTTCACCTTTAAGTGTTTCTGTGTGAAACATGCATTGGTTGAGGAGGGCACTGACCAGGTTGTATATGCCGAGCAGAAGAGCCTCGATGCAGCCGCTGCAGTGCGGGTCTCGGCAGGCCGTGACGGACAGGTAACTCCACACCAGCTCCGGCAAGAACTGCAGAGTAAAGCGCTGAAGACGCGGCTCGCCGCTGCGGTAAAACTCGAACAACTGATGACACACCGGCTCCAGCAGCTGAGAGACAGAAATGCATTACAATTACAAATCAGTGCAAAAAAAAAATACAAAATCTCTCACCTAGATTTTAATGAATCACTAAACTCCTTTTTAACCAATCACAGAACGGGGAGGGAGCAGCAAGACGATGACGACGTCTATGCGACACACCGAAGCAGTTTGTTTATACCTATGGATCAAACATGGCAGCAGACGCGAAGTTACCTTTCGATGCAGCCTTAGATATTGTTCTAAGTAGTTTAGAACGCAAATAAATCTCTGACCCATCGTCTTCTTCCTCGTCTAATTTCTGTCGCTCTACAAACGTCATCTGGTATAATTGAAACGATTGGCTATGAGCTACGTACAGGCGCATTTGATAGACATTCGTCGCACCCAATAAACGGCTCTGGGCATTCGTAAACCACGCCTCAAATACGAGAAAATAAACATATGGTTCCCAGACAACGTCTCAATGTCAATGAGACGTGGTCTGACGTTAGCCAGGCTAGTACAACAACTGAAGGCTTGTGAAAATAAGGTAAATACAACTACTAACCACATAGCCATATCCTGAAAAAAGCATGTTGGTCCTTCTCTGACTACTTCACTTAGAGACGCTGTCAATCACAGCTGTCAATCATGACTCCACAACCCCGTTTAATAGCTAATAACTAACCAAAACCAAACTTATTTTAAATAAGGAACACTTAAACTTACATCAGCGTGATGAAAACTGTCTAAATGATAGAAACTATCTTTGGGAAGAATATTTTAAAGTATAATTTGATTGTTTTGTTTGGCTCACGTTCCATTCGATTACATGGAGAGGGCGGGGTTTATGACCTATACCGCAGCCAGACACCAGGGGGCGATCCAAAGGTTTCTAAAAGCGGACTGGGACTAAATCAAATGAACCGCACAAACAGACCAATCGCACCAGAGTTGGTTTTAATCAAGTGTGAACACCCTAAAACTCTCCTAGTAAATATTTTAGGTCAAATGGGTTCAGCTGACCAAAAAGTTTGGGAATATCGGGTCAAAACAGTTGTACACACAACGCTGACATTAAACAGCTTTATTAAACAATTGTAGTTTTAGCAGGTAGCTGACGGGTTTGAGTCGACATGAAATGGTCCTGTACTGTGGCATTTCTGACTGAAATGATGTAGATTGGGCATTTGATTGGTTCACTATAGAGGTTGTGATATTATTGGTTAATACATTGCATTACAACAGCCTTGGTTACATCAGCAGAAAAAGTCATTTCAGGTGCTAAAGGTTTTTAGATTTTGATGAAAGATTACAAACAGACCAAAAACATGTCATGCTGTTTCTAAAAGGAGCGTCCTTCAGTCAGTGTTTAGACATCTGCAGGACTGTGTGAAACACACAGATTTCTGTGACACGGTGTGACGGTGCTGATTTTCAGAAATTAAACACCTTAACGCTTCAACAGAGCAGAGAAGACTCAGGATCTGGTTTCCTGACACTCGAAAGTTACAATCAAGCACAAAAACGATCTCTGCGTGACTATTCAAACGAGTGCAGATCGAACTACATCATGCAAACATGGCTCTCGATTTTACATTTATGATTTGTTACAACGTGATTTTCTAGCGGGACCTTGCAGTTGGATTTGTCGGACAGTTTGGAAGTGATTACAGGGCGTCCGCACGTTTTAATTTTTCTGCCAAAACCAGCTTGAAGAAGCTCAACGGAATGGACAACGAGATGGACAGAAATAACAATACTGTGTGATTGAAAAGCGGTTTCATATCTACACATGACAACTGCTCTCTCAAACACATATTTGAATGTTATGATGGGATTTTGTCAAAGATTTAATAGACACAGGAGAACCGCTGTCAGGGCCGGCGATTGCTATAGGTGAACTAGGCCTAGTTGGCCAATGTGTTGGGGGCGCAGGCGCCCTCTAGTGTCGCCCTTTGCCTACTTCCCATTAATCATAGAATTAGAATGACAAGCCAAATAAAACATGTTTATTAAACATGATCATCATCATAAGGCGCCCCTCAGCCACACGTTTAATTACTTGTCAACTTGATTATTAGATTGAATTGATGATTATTGTCGATCATTTCCTAATGGTGGGTGGGGGAGTTGCGTTGCGTTACGTTACTTTAGGTTAGTGAAGGTGCTGGCGCGTTGATCGAAAATGAAGCGGTCTAAACCCTCTGGTGCACAGGGAAGAAAAGGAGAAAGGAACAAGATAAAAAGAAAGCCCAGTATAAAGGTAAGTCTTCTCATCTCAGCCATTAAGGTGTCAAACGAAATAAATTTACTTAGTATTGTGTAAAGGCATGTACTGGCCATCGGGACTACCGGGAGATTCCCGGTGGGCCGACGTGCTTTTTGGGCCGATACATCTCGAATACTTTTATATATTTATTTATTTTTTGTCTGAACGGCCCATAAAACTCGTACATCGGCGGCCCATTCGTTTTGTTTTGTTCAATTGGTGGCGCTGGGTTATAACTTGCTTTCAAGTATAGAAATGTGTACAAAACTTATTAGGCTATGAAAGTTTCCTTTATTATTACATTTGTTTTACAATATATGGCTATTACTGTCATGGGATTAATATTATAACTATTATTATGCAGTATTGTAATGTAGACAGACACTGTAACAAAATAATAATAACCTTTATTTTATAAAGCGCCTTTAAAAGCAGCTTCTCAAAGCGCTGTATAGGCCTAAACAATGGGCAATGGTTATAAAAAAAAAAAACACATCAACAAGTGAATGCAAGTTTAAAAAAGTATGTCTTAAGTTGACCTTTAAAAATGGCATAAGACTGGGCTTCCCTAAGTTCAAGAGGCAGAGGATTCCAAAGGACAGGTGTTAAATTCATCAATCTGGTGCACTTTGAGAGTTCAAAATTAAAAGCTCCAACCCATATTCAGTGTGCAAATTAAAATTAAAATGCACAATATTTTCTTAAACCCCCTTAGCCTTGTAGCAGCCCATTAGATTAGTAATAACGGTGGTAGAAATTGTAATTTATCTACTACAAGTTACATGGTCAGATAAAATCTCAAATCTCGCCTAGCGCAACCAAAGGGCTAGAGCCGGCCCTGACCGCTGTCATTTAGGAATACGATTGTGTGGATGTTTGAATCAAAATCACGAACTTTTAACGATTAATCGTGCAGCTCTAAGGTGTACATTGAACAAAAAGCTAATGTCAAAATGTCTTTCCTTTTTTACTTTCAGACATCATACAGACATTTGTTAAGTCTAAAAATATGTGATTGATTGCAAAGTGTTCTTTAAAAGATTTGTCTATGATTATGTCATTAGCAGAACTGTTTCCAGTAAGAGGAACTGACACAAGACGCTGGTATAAACTGACGGTTGTGCCTGAAGGAGACACACCCAATCGACGACATCATAATCATAATGTTGACGCTGCCATGACAACAGTCAGCATGATTATGATAATTAAACGAGCGCCGCACTGTTCATAACTCACGGTCACATCACCAAACATCTTTAGCAGTGCAACACAGAGACAGACTGGTTTCGAAAGAATACTCAGGGTTATTTTAAACATGATGTCCCAGAGTTTGTATATAATCAGGAAATGTGTTTATACAACTTCACTTGTAATCAGGCAGGAGCAAAACGTGTGGCTCATTTATTTGAGCACTTTTTGGTTGCCTAAATTGTCCTTTTGAGGTACTTTTCTTCGACCTTCTGTATTTATGTTTGAAAATGAAGAAATTAAGACATAAATATTAATTTTACAGGTGTAGTGTAAAATAAAGCTAGTATTTTCATTAAATATTTGTTTATTTTTAAAGTACAATAGTATTATCGCAATATAAATATATTTGTTATTTTCTTTAATTTATATACTACTACTATTATTATTACTAATAATATTTTTGGATATACAATACAAGCACAGCAAACCTAGAACTCCTAAAAACGCATTTTAAATAGCAATTGCAATTATTTTTTTACTGATCTAATTAGCGCAATTCGATTTTCCCCCCGCAAATCATTCAGCTCTCATTAAAATCAACACAAAGGAGATCGTAATGCATTTTGCTTCCATAATTGAATGCATTTTCGAGTAAAAAAAAAGAGTGGGAACTGATTGGATAGTGAAAAGTGGCAAACAACCCCAGAATATGTCATTAAGCATCAGAACACATAAAATAATGAGAGAGTTCGAGTACAAATAGGAGAAGAAACTGCCTTACATCACTGTAATTTTCCCGAATAACTTTGTAAAGCGCTGGAACCAGAGAGCCCTTGTCCTTCAGAGAGGCGGCATAGCTGGAGACGGCCGTCTCTGGAAGAGTCTGAAACACACACACACACACGGGTCAAAGCAAGGGAAACGCTGAGAAATGATGCCGATGAGGAGAGAAAGACAGAGACGACGTACCTTATACTCAGACAGCCACTCCTCCACTACGCCTTGATCCATGGCCAACATCGTCCCTCATCTGGTGTGAGGAGATCTCAACCTGAAACAGGAACAACAGCCATCAAAACGAGTCACATCCTCAACGGGTTTATTTAATGAAAAACAGGATTATTCTTGCTTTTTTAGAAGTAAAAGAACTGGACTTGAACTACTACAGTATGTAGACACACTTCAAAACAAACTTTAACACCCCCCAGTTCAAGGTTGTTATCGTTAACTAAAACTATTATTATAATAGTTTAAATAAAATATTCATATATTCAGATGAAAAACTTTGAAACAAGTTTAAATTGAAGTACTAAAATTAATAAAAACTAATTAAAAAAATTAAATAAGAACTGAAAATATAAATAAAAACTATTCAAAGATTTAATAAATACAATAATAGTACATAACTAATCCTAAAATTAAACTGCCGCAGTTGTGTTCAGAACATTTACTGAAACTGTGACAGAAACAGAAATGGCCACCATAATTATATAAATATGGGCAGTCATATGTTAATGTGCTCAGTTAACATTCAGTATTCAGAAACTTGAGTCATCCTGATGAACAACAGCACTGGAAAACAAACATTAGCCAAATCATAACAGAGGTCATTTACATATTTTAAAGGTATAGTAGCAAAAACAGCTGGTTTAATTTAAAGAGTCAGAGAGAGCAAGTGAAAACAGTCATGAAGAACTAAATTATGACATTGTTGGTGCAATGAACCAACAAACGTGCAACGCATGAGCCTTTAACACAAGGTGAACCCAGTGCCTCGCTGCTCCGGCTTTAACCTTTCACCCTCTCGCTCTGAACGGGGAAGTGAGATATCGCGGCATGTGGTGAGGGAAATCAGATTAACACGTGTAACGTAAGGACAAAATTAAACACAGAGACACTGTTTTTACTCCAGGGATCCCCGCAACTTGAATTAATTCTGAAAATAATTTATCACAGTTCCCACAAAAATATTGACCAGCACAATAATAATCAGAAACACTGAAGACTGGAGCAATGATGCTGAAAATCCAGCTTTGATCACAGGAATAAATTACATTTTACTATATATTCACATAGAAAAGGGTTCATTTGAATTTTAATAATATTTCACAATATTGATGTTTTTACAGTATTTTTGATCAAATAAATGAAGCCTTGGTGAGCAGAAGAGAGGGTTTGTCGAGTAAAACAATACACACACACACGATTTGATTGATTTGTACAGTGCTTGTCACTTCTTTTTATTTTAAAGCCGATGACAGATATATTAGCCAATAAATATAAATCCAAGTTTATATGATTTGAGAGCCTGATAACCAAAACAAAAGTATCACCATTAAAAGCCATGTCCCAAACAATGTTTTCATTATAATTTTATACAGCCGATATGACAGACTTGCACTTAAATGCATTTTCCTTTTTTGAAGTGATTCCAATCATATTTCAAGCAATTCAAAACCATCATGACGAACAGTGCGCAGGAACTGGAAATAATACATTAGTTTTTCTTGGCTTTAATATCAGCCAATTTTTTACTTTCGGCCATCCACTCCGACTGTCTCTCTCTCACACACAAACTTAGTCATCAGTTTTTCCTCATGTTCTGCCTCTCTTCCCAAAAGTTCATATCATCCATGAGTCACTCGGCTCTGTTAATAACCTCTACAGTGTCTTACAGTGAGTGTTTCTCCTCCCGTCTCTGACAGCCATTAGTCTGCGGCGCTCAAAAACCTCTTTAATTAGTGCCGAGAGCAATCGACAGCAGAGAGAGAGAGAGAGAGAGAGAGAGAGAGATAGAGATAGAGATAGAGATAGAGATAGAGATAGAGATAGAGAGAGAGAGCAATCGACAGCAGCGAGAGAGAGAGAGAGAGAGAGAGAGAGAGAGAGACGAGAGAGAGCGAGAGAGAGAGAGCGAGAGAGAGAGAGCGAGAGAGAGAGAGAGAGAGAGAGAGAGAGAGAGAGAGAGAGCGAGAGAGAGCGAGAGAGAGCGAGAGAGAGAGAGCGAGAGAGAGCGAGCGAGAGAGAGCGAGAGAGAGCGAGAGAGAGCGAGAGAGAGAGAGCGAGAGAGAGAGAGAGAGAGAGAGAGAGAGAGAGAGAGAGAGAGAGAGAGAGAGAGAGAGAGAGAGAGAGAGAGAGAGAGAGATGGGAAACAACTTTGTAAACACTCATTCATTCATGGCTTTATTGATTAGCCTGAATCACCCCTCCTTTGCCCGGTCATGGATTAATAACTGTAGCACAGTGTGTGTGTGTGTGTGTGTGTGTGTGTGTGTGTGTGTCTTATCCCAAACACAAGCTATTGGATTAACCGCAGTCAGTGCCAGGAACGGCTTTCTGCTTCAGGATTTCACCCTCGTTTCCTTCTATGGTGGCCGAATGACTCGAAGAGTTATTTTACACAGTCGACTCTGGAAGGAGAAACAGCTGATGCTGCTGAAAGGAGAAATGTAAAGGTTTCGTGTTTGAGTGGTTAATTATTAAATCAACAGGCCTCGTTTATCACCTGACGAGTCATCTGAGGAATTTAAATACGGCCGACCTTTGACCTCGCAGAGCCAGAAGGACGATATCGGTTACTAGACTGATCCTAGAACTGTAATCCAGATTCAAACAGATTAATTTAGTCTAGAAGCCAGCAGATGGGAAACAAAGTGTGTGTTCGTGAGAGACAGAGAGAGTGGATGGATGGGACTCATTTGCACAAAAGTAATAATTACAAATACGACCAAAATGAGACCATTTTTCCTGCCGGTGCAACCAAATTTTAAAATAGGTTGCGCAAGCGACCAACGTTGCCCAGCAGCGAATGGCACACGAAATGAAAGCGTAACGAAACTGCGCTTCTCGTTTGTGCTTCACGGACCGTTTATTAGTTCGGACCAATAACAGACAGCGCCGCGAGCTACTGGCCAGTCGCGGGCCGATCTCGATCACACGACACTGTTACTACCAAGGGGGTAATCCACCAGCCGGAAACTGAAGCCTCCCCGGGCATAGATATCCATAATAAAGGCTAGATGTCTTACGGCGGAGTCTCTATCGTCATCACCGGCGGCCATCTTGTCACAGGCAAGCTTTCTGGCGGGCTCTGTGGTGCCTGATGTAAGATGAGTGATCAGCACGAACACAAATACTCTTATCTCGTTGAAATCTTGACGGATTTACAAACGGTTTGGTTTCTTACAAACGTTATTAACGTGGCTATAATTCTGGATGATTATTTATTGATACACTTATTATTCATAAGTATGCAGTGTCATAACTACATCTCTGACGTTTATAACAAACCAAACCGTTTGAAAATCGGTAGAAAATTGAGCAAGTTATGGTTATTTTAAAAGTACATGCACCATTAAAACACAATGTTACGAGTGAGCGAGCTGCCTGTGACAAGATGGCCGCCAGGTGCGGACGTCGACCTCCATTGGCCAGCAGCGCGGACAAGACATCTAGCCTTTATTATGGATATCTATGTCCCCGGGGGCCGCCATTGGCTAGCAAGCCTTCACCCGCTGTTAGCACTCCATTGACTCCTATTCATTTTGGCGTCACTTTGACAGCGAATAACTTTCCATCTGAAGCGTTTAAAGACTCCGTTTGTCCATTGTTTATTTCTAAAGAAACACGACAATGTATAAAAGGCTCCATTACCTTGTATCTTATCTTTTTGTAAAAATAGGCTAACGATTGCGTCATAACCACGGGACTCTCTGGCGCACACTAGAGGAATTACCGTATAGACAGGAGGAGAAGCTCACGGGCAATCTTTTACTGTCTATGAGGCAACCGGGTGGACACATGGAGGCATAAAGTCAAGGGAGAAGCTCATAGATAGAGAGTCCATAAAAGCAACGGGACAAAATATTTCAACAACGGATTTGTTTCAGATATCAATTCAGATTCCTCTTGGCACAGCTACTAGAAGACTTACAGCTGTCACACAGGTTGCTCACGTCACATCTCCGTCATCAAGCTCGGCCATCAGGAGTGCTTCTAATTGACTTCACTTTTCTCTGTTGAAGTCTATGGGGTCGCTGTGTCCATTTCTTTTACTGTCTATGCCAGCGCCGCGAGCTACTCGCCAGTCGCGGGCCGATCTCGATCACGCGACACTGTTACACAGCGCTGGGAGATCCATTGAATTTGCCACAGAATTAATAACATCGCTGCGAGGGTTATCTATTATAAACCATGGATGTCCGACGTGGAACAGCGCCGACGTGGAAACCAGGAGAAACATTGTGCCATGAATGAACAAGTTATAGAAGGCTTTAGTCCACAAATCAGCAACATTCACCATGGATTTAATCTAGTAACACGAACCGTAAGGCCGTGTGTCCACCAAAGCGTTTTCAGCCGGCTGAAAACGCTAGACGCTCTGCTGAAAACGCTCAGCTGTGGGCGCTTGAGAGCGTTTTGGCAGCGCTGCAGCGTTTTTTCCGTTGAGACGCTTCGTTGCTATGATACAGAATATCTGAATAGAATATTCCGATTACCGGGCGTTATTTATAGAAATGTATCTAAAAAAAATTAGCTTTGACGGTTTGCAAGCTAACGTTACGCTAACGTAGATCCCGGCCCCCACCGATCAGCTGTCTGACTGCTTAACTGATAGACCGATCGCCGATGAAATGTTCCTCCAAGCATTGTTTTTTTAAATTCACATTGTGGTAATCCAGGGATGTCATCTGGTATAAACACGTATGTTCGGAGACCAGCAATATTAATTTTTCATCCATTTTGTTCAGCTCTGCTGGTTGATGTCCTTGTACACAAAGAATGTTGAATGACAGTTGGTCGGTGTGATATTAGTCCCGCCCCTCCTCCACTGTGATTGGACGGTTGGTGAAAAGTGACAGTGATGAGCGCTGCGTTTTATCCAAAAGTTGAACATTTTTCAACTCTCGGCGACCAGTAAAACCGCCGGGTGCTCAGCGCTTGAGCGTTAAATACACGCTCAGCGCCTCGTTGCGCTCATGGCGTTTAAAAAACGCGGCGCTCCCATTGAAAACAATTGAAAACGTACGCCAGGCGCGAGTAAAAACGCTT